AACATCACTGGTGGGATGTTTTGTTTGCGTGGTCACCAACAGCAACAGAAATTCTGAATCCAATGCATCCCACTTTAATTTGGTTGATTTCTGTCACATTAGGCTTATTGTGGTATATGATGTGCCATGTTAGAGTGTGCAGGACAGATAGCACTGACCCACACACCTCCTCACATACATCATTGTTCCCTCATGTGCACCCTTGGAGCTCTTCTGGACCAGAGTGGACTGTGACCAGCACCTCCCTCTGAGTGAGGCCTCTCAGAGGCAGTGAACTCTCCAGTTTGCTGTACCAGGAGGAGCACAGCCAAATACCAGTGATGGATCCTGGGCCCATCCCCACAGGCCTCAAGGCTCAACCCTTTACCTGTTGAGAAGATGCAAAGACCCCAACTGAATTCAGTCCACTGAATTTGAGGGGAATTTTTCACAAGGATGTAACTTGGACAGGCTTCTTTAGGTCTGTCTCTGAGTGTGAACATGCTGGAGCAAATGGACCATGAGTGTTATTCTCCTCAATTCTCAAGTGCTTTAGATTCCTAAGTTAGGCCTGTGAGAGTTACTGTTGTGCCTATAGTAAACTCTGTATGGAAATGGTAAATTCTTTCAGTTGAGCTATTGATTCTGTGCTGTTCAGTTTAAATGCTGTTAAACATTTAGACCTCAACTGTTGGTCAGGTCTGGGGGTAAGTTTGACAAGAATGTCTACTCTGAACCTTGTGCCTTGATGAGACTCTCCTTTATCCTTGTTGTCTTTACCCTTTCCCATCCCCAGTCTCCACTTAGATCATCCTATATTGATTTCAGTTTTCAATTGGTTGATTTGAGATTTCACTCAGGGTTTTTTTCTGTGTGCTTTAGCCATCTGTAAGGAGCAGAGTGAACCTTGGCAGTGAGTTCTGTCACACTTTAATATTCATAGAATCATAAAATTTAGGGGTTGGAATGGACCTTACAGAATCACCTCTTTTGCCCTGCTGCCCACACTCCTGTGGATGCAGCCCAGGATTCCATTGGTTTCTGGGCTCAGCTCACACTGCAGCTCATGCTGAGCTTCTCATCCACTGTCACTCCCAAGTCTTTCTCCTCACTGCTGCTCTCAATTCCTTCTCCACCCAACCTGTAACTGTGCCTGGGATTGCCACGGCCCACATATTAAATCTCCTTTTGCTGATGCCTTTGCTGGTGATTGAGCATCCCAAAGCACTCATGTGTGACACCAGCATACATCCAACTGCTACTTGTTATTTAATAATTGAATAATTACTAATAGAGAATAGAATAAATACAATGATAATTGAATTTACAGATTCTGTGAACAACAATGGTCTTAGCAAGTGGAATAGGTGTAGTATTTACCTGCTCAGCCAAGCTCTTCAGTCCCTGAGCCTTTTTGAGGACAGCACGAGGTGAATCTCCATATGGCAAACTCTGTCTGGCCGGGAGAGCTCCTCTTTTAAGGGGAGAGTTGGGAGGCAAACTCTTATCAAACAGCTCTGGGCTCAGCTGACCACCAAAAGACACTCTCTTTCTTTTGCTCGAAGACTGCAGCAATAACTCAGCACTTTTCCTCTTCTGAGTGCTCCTTCTGGCCTTGCCTAAAAAGAACAATTGAAAAGATTTCTGTGTATCTAAGAATCCAAGTCAACATTTTAACCCACATGGAAAACAGTCTCCTTGTCCATTTTGAAGTGGAAACATACCAGAAAGTTACTTACCTTAAAGAGAAATAGATACAACTGAGAAAATTTTTTAGACATATTATTGTGTCTTGTTGGCCAAATATAATTACATGATAAATATTCTAGAACTGTCAGCAACTGGTTCTGTGTTGCAAGTGGAAAAGTTGTTAAAGTGCTACAAGAATTTCTCGTATGTAAGTTGGGGATCAAACATCTTTACCTGATTGTTCTGCAGCCATCAGCCCAGGGGTGTTAGTGTCTGAGACAGACTCATCACCTTCCAGCACAGGAGCACTGCCTGAGGACCTTCTCTTTGCTGACAGCCTACGAGGCCTCACACCACTGCCATCCTCCAAACCTGGTGTCTGCTGAGAACCTTCTGTGCTCAGCTCTGCCCGACTTCCACTCTCCTGTCTGGCTGGAGTCTTGTCAGGATGTTCCTGAACAGCACTTGTCTGCAGTGCTGTTTGCCTCAGCACTCCAGAGGTCCTTGACTTTCCCGTTTTCCTTGCAGAGCCAGGTGTGTGCCCAACAGGAGCTGGCACCATCCCTTCTGTAGCCAGTGTCTCTGAATGGACAATTTTGTCTGACGATTCCTTCCTTTGCCTGCTATTTCTCCTGGGACTCTTGGAACTAGGGAAAGCAGCAGGAGTTTCAGTGTGTCCCTCCTTCGAGTTTGCCCGAGCACAGATTTCCTTCAGCACTTCCTCTGGCACAGGTTTCCCTGGAGTATGTTGTTTGCTGTTTCGCCTTGGCTTTAGGCACTCGTTTTCTGGCAAAGGCAGTTGTGTGATGACATCAGTTCTACGCACTGAGCCTTCCCTTGGAGTTCTAGGTGGAACTTCAGGACAAGATTTCCTTCGCCGTGGAGTTTTTGGAATGTCGGTACTGACAGAATTCATCCCAGGGGTGTCCTTGGCAGGTGACACAAAACCAGACCGAGGGCTCTTCCTTCTGGGGGTTGGTGTGGACAGAACATATTTGCCTCCCTCAGAACCACTTGGGGTGGCAGTTGCTGATCTCTGCGTTTTCCCTTCAATTGGATACTCTGATCTCTCTATAGAGCACTGCTCCAGGAAAAATGAGTGGTTTCCAGCACTGTACCTGCTGAGTCTGGTGGTAACCTCAGCACCTTTAGCTCTGCCTGGTGTACTCAGCTCCTTGGGATCCTGCAGGTGTCTTTGGCCTGTGTCTCTTGACACCTCATTGGACACAGGAGTTTGAGGATTCCTGGTAAAACTCTTCCTGGCAGCACCTCCTGCAGCTGAGAGCTGCTCCAGTGCTGAGCTCTGCCTTCTAACAATGTGACATTCCTCCATGTGTTCACTCCTGCCTCTCTCTCTCCCTTTAGCCAGACCTCCCAGTCCATAAACACTACTGGATGATGCAGTCTGAGCACTTGGCTCTACCAGAACACTCTCATCATCTTTTGGCACAGCTGCATTTCCCTTGTACACAGGTGCCTTCTCGTTCAGCTCATGTTTCAGGTTCTCATAGAGTTTACAAAAGGGAGACATTTCTTTGCTCTTTTTAGAGATTTGCTGTTTTCTGCGTCTGGGTGTTTGCAGTTTGATGGGTAAAGCTTCAGGAATGTTTTTCTCTGTAGTCTGTTGATTTTCATTGGCATTTTTTCCTTCACACTCAGCATTATCTACAAAGTCATACAGACACAAAGTTACTTCAGAATTGTAGAGCTACAAATAGAAGGTCCAGAAATAGATCAAAAATTCCTTCCTTTCCTCTCCCAGGACAGCCCACTGGAATGGAACACCTGGAAACAGCCTGGAAACAAATACTTGTCACAAATGCTAAGAGATAAAGAGATTTCACCTTGTGTCTTCCCCTGAAAATCAGGATTTTTTTGACAAGAAGGATGGGAAGGTCATGGCATTTAACCACTCTATGGGCCGTAACTAGCCTGACTTAGCAGTTTTTCTGGTTCTGCACGAAACAGCTCTTGTCAACCATTATTTCAACAGATCCTACATCTCTCCCAAATTATACCATTTATTACTAGGGAAGCACACATGGGATGATGCAGTATTTGCTCCAAAGGGATCTAGTTGTGTTCTAGGCCAGCAGAGAACTGCAGAGGTGAATTTGCCCTGTGCTTTGTGTTTGATGCCTCTGAAAACCAAACGTACTAAGCAACTGGATCCCATGTCTGCTATAAGTGACCTGATGGACTGAACTGGATGTGTATGATTCACTGAAAGCAACACATATATGGATTTGGCCAATTCCAGGCTGTTCCTGCTCATTTGTCAGGATGCAATGACCTCATTTCCCCTGGCAGGACTTGGCTTTGGAAAATCACAGCATCTAGGGATGATGAGATAGTGGCACAGCAAGACATGCTGTACTCACATGGAAAAGTCTAAAAATGCCTTTTTTTCCTGCTCTTTTCAACCTTGTCTTAATCCTTATGCTAAGAATTAAGGCAGCTAAGGGGACCAAAAGGAAACAAAGTCCCCTCAAACCAGGTACCAACCTGCAGCATCAAGACTTTTAGATCCTGGAGTTTGT